GTGTCATCACACACTGGAGCTGCTTAATCAGCTCTCTCCAAATGGGGAGCATAGTCACCACTCTCAGACTAAAAACATTGCTGGGAAACAAACGAGGAGACAGTGATAAAAGAAACCAACTTGTGCAAGCCAGGACATTAGAACACTGCAGTTACAATGACAAACATCTGACAGTCTGGACATTTTCAGTTAAGGCTCCAACTCAACCTTAACTCTGTTCCTTACCAGTGGAAGAACACCACTTGTTGCCATATGAAAGAAACACAAGTCTTCCCCATTGCATGTATGAATCACAGTGGTATGATCTTTTGTTATATGGAGATATCGCCTGCACTCTGTTCCCCCCACTCAACACACACCCTTCCAGTTGATAGGTATACAAGATCCAAGACCTGTCTTATGAGGATGTGTAATTTATAGTGAAGATGAGGGGACCACACCTCATATGGTCAGAGAAGTGACTAAAGCAGATGAAAAAGGTGCTAGCCTGCATCCACATTACAGAATGGTTGTTAGCAGCTGATGAGTTGTGTGCTAACTTGAGATTTGGTCTGTGTCACTGGGCAGGTTGGCCCATAAGAATTAAAAGCACTACAGCCCTCATACTAAGGGTCTGTATGTGTGGATGGGACAATACTCGAGTTAAAATTTTGCAGTGAAGACAAGCACACTGTGGGATGGTGGGCATGGAAGGCTCTTATGGATCATATGCAGAGGCTAATATGACATGTTTTTGTAATGAGCTGGCTAGTGTGTATATGTACCATTGCTCTCTACTAGGTAACAATAGAACTGCTCAAGTATTGTATGTGTCATAGGTCCTATATTTTTAACAATTTATTGTGATTCCCTTTTAGCCCATATAATAAGGGCCTATGATTTTGGAGCAGGAGGATCCAACTTCTATTTGTACTCTTGCAATGAAGTTCTGAGTAATTGGGGTGTGCTATATAGTGACAGCTATAAAGTCCAGGGTGATCAGATTTATACAGGGCCTTAGGAGGACATGGATCTTTACATACAGATGCAGAATTACAGGATACTGCCTAACAGGCTTACAATCTACATTTAGAAATAGCATAAGTAATGACATTGGAGGAGGTTTGGGGGAAGGGAGAACAAGGATTACAGAATGATAATCCTTTGTTTTCTTTTGCATGCATCTTGATATTTCCACATATATTTTAACAAATTAATATTGTTTAGAGCAAAATTAAAGTTTTTTTCTCTCTCCCTATTGTCAAGAGAGTTGGAGAGGAGGTTAATAGTGGATGGAGAGGGCAGAGCTGGGGGTGGAAGAAGATTGTTGTGTTGGGTGCATGAGAACGGTAGAGGGGATCAGACTGTAGTGGGAGGAAGAGAGAGAAGAGTAGCGGAGTGGAATGTGGGGACAAAAGAAGGCATGACAAAGGAGGCAGAGGTTGGTGAGATTAGGTAATATGGTCAGTAAGTGAACAATCAACAAGGCAAGTTAAAGGTTAGTGATCAATATATTAATGGGAAGGAACTGATAGTATGGCAATTGATGGTTACAATCAGTAAGGCAAAAACTGAATAAGCCTAGCAGAAACAGTCAGCTGTCAGCCATGGATGTAACTACATGTTTTGGTCTCGTCCTGTACTGTGAAGGTGGGGGAGAGTCTGGTTCTTTATTGGCCTGATTTTCAAAATAGCTTCGCTCCTCAAAACTCCCATTGATTTCAATAGGATCTGCTAGCTGCTGGGCACTTTAGAAAGTCTGGTCACAGCTGTTTAGTGGTATATTAACAGTTTGCAGGCCAGAATTTTTCCCTGAGATACTGGGCATCTGTGACTCATAGCTGAAGGTTAGGATGGGCATGATGGAGAGACTAAGGAGTAAAGATAAAGTTTCTACTGGGATCTTAACCCCCTGACTTTATTTTAAACTAAAAATAAGCTAAAATAGATATCTATGGACAACTTTAACTCTCAACTAAGCGTGTGTGTTTTTCCTTTTGTTTTTTTAAAACAGAACACCAACATTTCTGAATAATATTTTTTTTCTTCCTAGTACTACTTTAAAGTATTTTAGAGAAGGAGGAAAGAAAGCATTATTATTATGATAATAATTTGCAAGTATCTTTTATCCAAAGTTTTCAAAACACTAAACAAATGTGGGTAAGTGACTTGCTGAAAGTCAAACAGTGAATAGTTTGGAAGAGAATCCAGGTTTCCTGACTCTAATTTCTTTCTCTAACCAGTTCTTATGCATAGCCCCTGTATACAATAGAGCAAAAATGTGCAATTGGTGGAAACTCTTCTGTAGATAGCCCTGTTTGAGAGTTTGTCTAGTGAGAGAGACCAAGTTACCCACCTCAGGCATAGAAATGCCTTTTCAAATCATAGTGTACAAATAGTACAATCAGTTTCAAGGATATCTCAGGTATTGTAGGGACACAGGTCTTAAACATCTATCCAAGCAGGTCAGTTTCTCCCAGGCTGCTCAAGAGAACCATCAAAATAATCAGGCAATGGGCCCAAAGTCTCTAGTTGTTTGTCAGACCTCCCCTTTTCCCCAGGATGAACACCACAATGGTAGAACAGGATATTCTTCCTGTTTCCTTCCTGACAGAAAAAGAACAGATACCAGATATCTTCTCCCATCTGAGTGTTTACAGACAGTTCCTCAGTTTTAGAGATCTGTAGAATGTGCTTCACCATAAATACCAAACCACTCAATAGGATATTGGAATACAGAACTTTTGATACTCTCTCCCTCATCACTAGCACTGTAACTACCGATGCCTCAACATTTTACAGAATCACAGCTACCTATTTATTCTTCCAAAACCTGTGGAGATCCCTCCAATGAGGTAATCCTCAAAGAAAATTCTTCACATTTACAAAGTTATTGTTCTCACTGAGCTAATTCCATAGCCTTCAGAGATGTGTAGGGATTAAATGAAGTATCCATCCTACTCTAATCCTTGTCTGCCAGGTAGGACATTTAGGCCAATGGATTCAAAATCTTCCCTTAATGCAGGAGTGGCCAACCTGAGGCGGAGAAGAAGCCAGAATTTACCAATCTACACTGTCAAAGAGCCACAGTAATATGTCAGCAGCCCCTCATCAGCTCGCCCCCCCCCCACACGCTCCCAGTGCCTCCCACCCACCAGCAGTCCCACCGATCAGTGTCTCCCCCTCCCTCCCCACACCTCCCAATCAGCTGTTTTGTGGCATGCAGAAGGCTCGGGGGGGGGGGTGAGAGCGAGGGCATAGCAGGCTGGGGGTGGCGGGGAGCCTGTGGCAGAGCCAGGGGTGCCTGTAGCTCCAGCCCCAGAGTCTGTGTCTATACAAGGAGCTGCATATTAACTTCTGAAGAGCCGCACGTGGCTCCAGAGCCACAGGTTGGCCACCCCGCCTTAATGTATTCTTCTAGCTCATTAAGTCAAGAATGTAGACAGTTTTTAAAAATATCATAGAATTAATACAGGAATTCAATTTCCAGGAGTTTTAGCTTTCTATGATGAAAAAAAATCTTAGCTAACAAATTCAAAATGATAAAATCCTTCACTAAATTTATACAGATCTCTTCTCTGAAGTGCTTGCTGGTTGGCCTTCTTGGGGTTGTCTCCAGAAACTGAAGAAAACACTAACCAGCATCTCATTGACAGAGAAAATAGATTTTGAGGGGAGGACAAAGTGGAATCAATGGTTTATTAAGCAAAACAGATGTCAGCAGAAGATCAGATTTGTGTGTGCGTGTTTGCTTTATCCTCTTGATCAAAGGAGAATACCATCTGCCATACACCCTTTCACCTCAGAAAACATCCACCTCCAGAATGATTTACTTAATCATCTTGGAACAAACAAGTATTATGAACTGACTCCAGAAAAGGCACAGAAGGGGGAAGTGTATTGTCTGATTACTAGATTCCAAACAGAATCGTTTCTTCCATGAACTTCCATCATTTTCTGAGGTTAAATCCATAAAGATTCTCATAGACTATTTCAAGTACCAGTGTTTATTCCAGGAATTTCAAGAATCATCATCTATGGGAGCAAGAGACACACTGATGCAGCACAGAAATAAACAGGGCTTTAACATACCTATTCCACTAGTAGTTGGTGTCCTAATAGTGAAAACAAGCTCCAATAGTGAGAACAGAAGTCTACATCTTCTCCATGTATAACATGGTTTTCAGAATGCAGACACTCAGAACTTGGCATCACAGCTAGATACCAGTGAACTACACATCACTGAATACTAGTGGAACTTATTCATGTAATTATCACATGATGAATACTGATTTTTTTTGTACACTAACCTGCATGCAGCCTCTGTTCCCTCCCCCATCTCTGCCTTTGGCTCAGAATATGGCCTCTTTACTGTATAGTGCTAGCAGCTGACACAGGGATGCATGACTGTTTGGCAGGCAGCTGACAGCAGTCATAATGGCAAGGTATAGAAAACCAGCTTCTTGCAGCCCAGAGACCCACAGAGAAATCTTTATTCATTTTTTTTGCAGCATGTAATTGATTTGTGGATGAATGAAAACTCCAGGCTGTGAATCTTGTGTGCATTGATCGTGATTTAAGTTGCTAGAGAACACATAGTAAGGGGTTCATTCTCTCCTCAATGTGCTGTACACATGCTGGCTTTATTTTGAGCACCTGCTAGCTTCTCTCTTTCTTTCCAGGAGGGCCAGCCTATTTACATGGCCGTGAAGGGAGTAGTATTTGATGTCACTTCTGGAAAAGGTGAGTTGGCCATTCCCCCTTCACATTATCCCATTTTTCTACTTAAACATCCTAAACCTTTAGGAAACTTCAAACTCTATTTAAATACAAAGAACATACTCATTTGTTCTTAATTCCTAATCATCCTCCTCTGAAGCTGCCTTCTCCCACTCAGCTTCACACCTCCTTTCATGCTGACCTCTGTGTCTGGAACAGAACAGATCCTCTTCTTATCTTATCATTTTCTAAGAAATGCCATAATACCTTTTGACTTGACTGAGACACCTTCCATTATATAGATTTACACACGTTTTCCTCTAACATTGGTTTTAGCTACTCTTTAAATTTAAAATAAAAAAAAGCGCACTTAGGACTGATGAAAGCTACCAAACTGAGAGCCCTAGAGAGAGAAATTCGCCATCAGTAGAACAGACACAACTTGGGCAGCAGCTGTATTACAATCTTAGTGAAGACAGGCAGTTGTCATTTTAGGCCACATTAACTAGTCCAGGTAAGCTAGTCTGTCTTGAGACGTCACCAAAATTTTAGGAGGAAAAGGGCTCAGATCCGAGTCCTTGGTTTTGGCTCATTTAGGAGTATAATGGGCTCCTTTCATGCTGGTATAAGCAGATGCTTAATCTGGCCCGTTGTTTTCATTGTCAATAGTCTGAACATTACTAGATTTCCTCTCCTTGAACAGAATTTTATGGGAAAGGTGCCCCATACAACGCCCTCGTTGGGAAGGACTCAACACGAGGCGTTGCAAAGATGTCACTTGACCCAGAAGACCTCACTCATGACACAGTAAGAAATGGGATTGTTTGTTTAATTCCTTCTTTGCAAAATTTCAATCTTTTTCTTGGCTTCCCTAAAATATATTCCCCTGCTGTATATTTATTCAAAGCCCAATCCTATAAATAAGGAAAATATTTATTTTCTAAGAAATGCCGTAATACCTTTTGATCTGATTGAAACACCTTCCATTATATAGATTTGCATACGTTTTCCTCTAACGTTGGTTTTAGCTACTCTTTAAATTTAAAATAAAAAAAGTGCACTTAGGACTGGTGAAAGCTACCAAACTGAGAGCCCTAGAGAGAGAAATTCGCCATCAGTAGAACAGACACAACTTGGGCAGCAGCTACCCCGTCAACATACTTTAACAGCTGTCTAGAGGGACAGCATCTAAAAATGTGTAGTTCAGTTTCCTTGACCAATTCAGTCCTTGGTGTCTCTGCTGAGAATACTAAATGGGTCAACTGTGATGGTGCTTTTTGGAAATGAATTGAAGCCAACAACTCACTTTACCTGAGGATGTCAGGCTTTATCACTACTGGGCTGAATTTGAATAAGTGACCTAGGGGTGAAAGGTTCTATGATAAATAACTCACTGCCAATTACTTAAACCCTCCATTGTTTCTGTGCCCTGCAAATTAAATCTGAAGGCTGGCGTCGAGGCTAGGATGATCAACATAAATAAAGACATATGTAAATACCTGCCATTTTTTCTTGCCCATATTTCCTTTAGACAGGACTCACGGAAGAAGAGCTAAAATCCCTGGATGATATCTTCAATGATGTGTACAAAGCCAAATATCCTATTGTTGGCTACACTTCTCAAAGAATTCTGAATGAGGATGGCAGCCCCAATCAGAACTTTAAACCTGAGGATCAGCCACATTTCAGCATTAGAGATGAATTTTGATGAAGGATTTAGCATCCTGAAAATCCTCAGATGGACATTGTAGAACACGGTATGACTGGGAAACATTGACTGTTTCTAAGGCAGAAGAACATTTTCTATGAATTATGTATCTTTTGTATTTTTGTTATCCGTCCCCCCGCCCAAAGAGAATAATAGCTGATTACTAGTGTAGTGAATTCCTTCAAGTAGTGAACCAAATAAAATTTAATCAGTGGCACATATTTGTGGATTGGAGGGAATTATTTCAATAAAATTCTCACTGCCAATATCTTGATTTCTCTTTTTTAATATAAAAAGAAAAATTGGATAACTAAAGACTCATTCCCTAAAGGGGAGAAAGTGTCCTTTAATAGCTGAATCATGAGATTAGGGGTTTTGCCATTTCTGGGTTCTGTTCCCTGTTCTGCTGCAAACTTGCTGTATTACGTGAGTCACCTTACTTCACTTCTCCATGCCTCAGTTTCTCCATCAGTAAAATAGGTGTAATAAGGCTTCTTATCTCAGAGGAGTGGTGTGGGGCTTAATATTCATCCTCTTTGATTACAGTGGATATATAAATGCTGACTTCCTGAAATGTACTTAAATGCTGTATATTTATGCAAAGCCCAGTGTTATAAAACAAAGATTTTTCTTCTGGGAAATGTAATATTTAATTACCTTTTGATTCGATATAGGCTATGGCTACAATCAATAGCTCACAGCAGCGCCGCTGCAAGATCTCTAGTGGAGCTGCTCTACACTGACAGGAAAGAGGTCTCCCATCGCCTTAAATAATCCACCCCCAACAAGCGGCGGCAGCTATGTTGGCAGGAGAAGTTCTCCTGCCAACATAGCGCTGTCCACATCGGCACATAGGTGGGTGTAACTTATTTCGCTCAGTGCGGTGGCTTATTCACACTCCTGAGTGGCATAAGTTATACTGACATAAGTGGTAGTGTAGACATGGCCTAAATCACTCTTATTGCAGTAGTTTTGTCAAAATAGCACTTTTTTGTAATACATTTACATGGGTTTGTCATTTAAAATTTAGGTCATGATGGTTCCTTAGTATCCTCAACTCCTAATTCCCACAAACCAAGAGAAATTATAACCTAGGATCTATGGTTATCATAAAGTCTTTGTTCACATATTGTAAAATATAAGTTTACTGTGATTATTTCAGTCTGACCCGAATATTCCCAGCTTCTTTATGTTGTCAATTAAACTCTGGTTGACTCTACACATAGGCGCGGGAACTAAGGGTGCTGCCACAGCCCCTGGTTTGAAGTAGTTATCATATGCAGGCTTTACAGTTTGGTTCAAGGGCTCTCAGCACCCCCGTACACAAATTGTTCTAGCACCCTTGTCTACCGGTGCTTTTTCCATTTTTAATCTGTATCAGGTTCTCTGCACTATTACTTTTTCTAGCTTGATCATTGCCACTCCAGTTCCCTTGAAAGATGTGTGTGTGTTCTTTTTCTGTTTAACCTAATTTACAGCTCCAGGTCCTGCTGGGGGGAAAACAAGTCGTCTCCTCTGTCAGATTTCTCTTGGCAGTCTTTCAGGCTGCTTTTAATTTACATAGCAACCGGAGAACATTAAATGCTTGGGCTATACCAAGTGCTGCTAACTACTGGCTTCCACTAACTGAAGTCAAATGCTAACTGTCATGTATGCAGATTTACCTGCCACCATGACAGTTTGAATTAGCATTGAGAAACTGAGCAGCTGCTTCCAATTTCTTAAAGATAATTTGCTTCATTATGTTAACCTCCTGGCTGCTTTCTTTCAAAGAGTAAATGATTAAATCATTTATTCTCCCTCTCCTGGGATCTGTATGCTGTATAGCATATTGTGGGAGAAGGACAATTTGTCTGATAAAAGAAAAAACTTTTTTTTTAATGATCCCTTTCATAACGTCACTGATATTTACTCTAAATGTGCTTTGTGCCTTAAGCCCCTTTTTTCCCTTATAGGCATTCAGCAGTATAGTGTAAGAGGTTAAAGCAAGGGACACCTGCTGTTTACACTCCGCCACCAAGTTTCTGTGTACCTGAGGTTACCTGTGCCACTTAACTGCATCACAAAAGTTCTAATTAATAAATGTTTGTATTTAAAGCTACAGTTGGTTGTTAATAAAGTTTTTGCAGGAAAGTAAACCATTTTTTAGATCCATTATTCCACAAACATTTTTCAGTGAAAAAAATGAAACCTGAAAATTTTTGGTTTGTGAACAGTATGGAAACTAATTTAATAAAAAACTCGAGGTTTTGAAAACAGAAAACTTTTGCTGAAAATAGAATATTCTGGGTTTTGGTTTCTCCCTCTTTTTGATTTTTTTTAAAAAGAAAACAAAAAAACAAACAAACCAGAAAACGTTGACCAAAATAAAAATGGTTTTGTTTTAGTTGAAAAGCAGTTTTTCATAAAAAAAATAAATAAATCCCCAAACCTACAAACTACACACAACACATCACACCCCGAACACAAATTTCAACCAACTCTAAAACTAAGCTTCATCAGGATGGTGGGTGCTGTACAAACAAACTGTAAATAGCTTGCAGTCTAACTCAGGGGTGGTCAAACTGCGGCCCGCGGGATTGCCAGTCCAATGGCATAGTGGGGTTAAGGCAGGCTCCCTGGCCCCGTGCCGCTCCTGGAAGCAGCCGGACCACGTCCCTGCAGCCCCTGGGGACAGAGGGTTCCGCGTGCTGCCCTTGCCTGCAGGCACCGCCACCCCTCCCCCCCCCCGCAGCTCCTATTGGCTGGGAATGGGGAACCGCGGCCATTGGGAGCTTCGGGGGAGGTACCCGCAGGTGAGGGCAGCGTGCGGAGCCCTCTGCCCCCCCGGGTCCGCAGGGATGTGGTGCCGGCTGCCACGCGAGGCCAGGGTAGGCAGGGAGCCTGCCTTAGCCCCACTGCCACCCCAGAGCCGCTCAAGGAGCCCGTACCCCAAACCCCTCCTGCACCCCACCCCCCAACCCTCTGCCCTGAGCTCCCTGCCCTGAGCCCCCTCCTGCACCCCACCCCCCTGCCCTGAGCCTCCTCCTGCACTCCACACCCCCTCCTGCACCCCAGCCCCCTGCCCTGAGCTCCCTGTTGTACCCCTCCTGCACCCTAACCCCCTGCCCTAAGCCCCCTCCTGCACCCCACACCCCTCCTATACCCTAACCCCCTGCCCCAGCCCTACATTCATGGCCCTGCATGCAATTTCCCCACCCAGATGTGGCCCTCAGGCCAAAAAGTTTGCCCACCCCTGGTCTAACTCATTCATGATACTGTACAAAGACTGAAGATTCACTCTCAAAATGGTGCAGACACCATAACTGAGAGGCATTGTGGGAGAAATGTGTTTCAAGGAGTTGAATGAAGAGAGGGGTGGTCCAAGTGTAAGGGCTAATAAGAATATGGAAGAGATGATTAATTGGAATGTAAGAGAATGAAAGCAGAGCTCCTCTGATAAAAGTACTAAGTAATATTTCCTTCTTTTCCTGTCCCACTCTAATTTGACACTCTACTTCCTGATGTGGGCAGCTGGAGGAGCTACACTGCTAAGATTATTTTCAGTGGTTTATTAGAAGTTTTACCAACATGTTAAATGTTGTACATGGAAACTTAATTTTGAGGGCAGATTCAAACCCACAAACTTCAAGTGGGTTTGCATATGGTGTAACAATGTTCTCTTCTCCCTGTTTGAACACAAGAACATTGCCAGAAGGTGGGAGTAGACAATACGGGATAGATCACTCAATAATTGTCCTGTTCTGTTCATTCCCCTGAAGCATCTGACACTGGCTACTGTTGAAGACAGGATACTGACTAGATGGCCCATTTGTCTGACCCAGTATGGCCATTGTTATGTTAACCCCATGGATCTCCAATGAGGGGCTTACATGGAGGTCTCAAAGATGGAGCGTAGTATTCCCTCTGACCTCTCTGTGTGAAAGATCTGGCCCTCCCCCACTCACGTATATGGAAAGAGATGCTCCAGCCCCATTTAAAAATAACACTTTCCTTAGCTCTGTTATGAATGACACTTTTGATAATCTAAACTGAATGAATTTTAAAAATCAAATGTTCTTACAATTTATTCTCTTTCCTTTCTAGATTTCTCTCAGTTAGGACAATAAAATGACTAGTCACTTTTACTTTGGTGTAATCATTTCCTGGTCAACTTCACTTTCAGATTCCAATACACTTTCACAATGCTACAATTCCCTGGCTGCAAACAGGCCCGGGGAATGAGTCTTTTCTTCAGAAACTGCTACTATTGACTGATGTTTAATAAAGGCCATAGAAATATTGATATTGATTACACAGTAGGTTTTGTAAAAAGCTTTTTTTTTTACCAAAAATTCATTTGACCCATCTACCTACTCATAAGAGGATCATCACCACACTATCTGAGCACCTGTGAACCGCTAATTAATTTATCCTCAGATCACCCTACTTAGGGAAGAATTATCTCCTTTTATTTCCCTATTTTCTAGATGAGCAACTGAGGCACAAAATGATAAAATGACTCGCACAATGTCACAGAGAAAGTCTGTTGAACCATTGTGACATTCTATACCTTGGGGGAGCGTGCTGGAACCCCCATATTCCTCATTTTCATATAATTTGGATCTTACGTATAAAACATGCCTTGTAAGGTATCGGGGAAAGGTTATGATCTGCTGAAAGTCATTTCTCTATCCATATATGTATATCATTAATGCATATGAAGTTATGAGAATTGTGTTGTATGGTTGTCACTAAAACCTGCTGTAAGTTGGGGGAATCAGCCAGATATTAGCTCCCCAGAGGCAACAGCAAGGAAACTAACCAACCCCCCGGGCAGGGTGTCAAAGAACCCATCCACAGCCATTGTCCAGCAAGGGAGCTACAATGCAATGACTCACCTGCATGAGGCCACACCAGGGGAATTGCTGAACCTTGCTTGGAGAGACTCAGCAATGCTCACCTGACTCTGAAGGGCGGGGGGCAAAGCCAAGGGGGAGGAAAGGACATGATAAAAGGAAGAGACATTTGCTGTGCTCTTCCTCTCGCTTCCACCTACACCTACAGACACCACCAACCAACTGAAGCGCTGATCAAAGGGGAGAGCCTGGCTGAAGAGCAACCAGCCAGCCTGTGGTGAGAAGCATCTAAGTTTGTACGTGCACGGAAACTGTTAAGATCAGCTTAGAATGCTTTTATTTCATTTGACCAAATCTGACTTATGTTTTGACTTCTAATCACTTAAAATCTATCTTTATAGTTAATAAATCTGTTTGTTTATTCTACCTGAAGCAGTGCGTTTGGTTTGAAGCGTGTCAGAGGCTCCCCTTGGGATAACAAGCCTGGTACATATCAATTTCTTTGTTAAATTGACGAACTCATATAAGCTTGCAGCATCCAGGGGGCATAACTGGACACTGCAAGACGGAGGTTCCTAGGGTTGTGTCTGGGACCGGAGATATTGGCTAGTGTCATTCGGTTGCACAATCCAAGGAGCAGCTTACATGCCAGAGGCTGTGCGTGAACAGCCCAGGAGTGGGGGTTCTCACAGCAGAGCAGGATAAGGCTGGCTCCCAGAGTCAAGGACTGGAGTGACATAGCAGATCACAGGTCCAGATAACACCAGAGGGGAATGTCACAACCATTATCTCTTGGGTCCCACTCTAGTATGCTAAGCACTAGAGTGTACCCTTTTAAAAACCAGCCAAGTCATATGTTGCAAGATATCTTTTTTGGTGTGGTGACTGGTGATGGAGCTGAATTTTACACTGCTGAAAGATAACATTTGCCTTGGAGACAGAAATGTGTATGATGTCAACTATACATTTTTTAAAATTGTTTTTCCTAAAAATATCACATTTATTGTCACCCCTTCTTTAGAGCTGGTTTTGTTACCCTGAGTTTTGCATCATTTCAATGAGACCATTGATCTATCTGAAATTTTCACTTAAACAAGCAAACAGTGAGAGGTCCCATTACAGGCCCCCGACTTACCCTGAAGGGTGATGAATTTCTTTGTAATCCACTTGTAGCTTCCAGAGGATGACTCACTGTTTTTACTCTAATTCCTCTCATCTACCTCTTGTTAATTTATCATGGGTGTCAGCGTGATTCAAGAAGGTTTTTATGAATTGCCATAACAGGAGAGAACCTACTCTATTCTTTAATACTGTTTTACTCTACATTCTGGAGTGAATTATTGGTGAGCATCTCAAGGAGCATCTCTCATTGTTGAGAAGATGCAAAAGAGTTTACCAAAGGGAGCTGAACTAATGTCAAAACGCTACAACTCATCTAAGGAGCTCTTTACACAGGAATAACTTACACAACACTGCTATGTTTCCCTCTTATGACCTTCCCCTCCCCTCCAAATATTCTATCTTTTATCCTAGTACATTTAACTAAATACTATAGCAATAGGCACTTTACTTTACACACAGAAAAGTGCTTTAAGACCTGGATGTATGTTAATCAGATTCTGCAGCCCTCACTTTGAGTGCCACTTGTTTGAAGTCCATGGTACTAGTTGCTGAGATAACTGCTATTCAATAGAAGGGCTTCAGAATCTGGCCTAACCTCACAACACCCCTGTGAGGTAGATAAGTATTATCCCCATTTGCAGATTGGAAACAGATTAAAGTGAATTCATGTTAAACCCTTGTCTAGATTAGGATGTAAAATGTCTTGCTAGCACATTAGCTAACAGCACATCTTTAATTTCTAATCTAGGCAAAACCTAAATTTGAAGAGAGCTGAGAATACAACCCAGGAGCCCTGAATCCTAGTTCTAATCACTCGGGTTGGGATTTTCAAAGGAAGCTTTCATGGAGTGAGGCACCCAAATCACACTGAAATTTAATGGGAATTGGGAACCTAACTCCCTTACACCTTGTCTACATGAGAAAATTATACATTTTAAACTAAATCAGTTTAGAAACTGATTTCATTAAGTCATTCCAACACCTTTGTGTGGACACATTTCAGTGCCCCTGTGGGTAAACGCACTCATTTCCATGACTCTTAAACCAATATGAGAGTTCCATCAGTTTAACATCAGTTTCTACATACATTTCATTAAATTGGTACAATTGTATCATGTAGACAAGGTCTTGGGTTTCTTTGAAAATTGCAGTGACACTACCCAAGAGTCTTTGTGATCCAAGGATATCAACTATACCTGTAGCACTATAAGAATCAATCTTATATCACATTTCAGGCCAGGAATAGCTTTAGATGTTTGGGAACAATGCTAATTATGAAAATTCATACAGGAAGGGTATTATCTGCTATTCATTAGCCTTCTTTTTGGAATGTTTGTC